TACTGGATTACAAAACTTTTTTAAGGCAAAACTGATTTGAAAAAAAAATACTGATCCACCCTCAGTGTCAATATATCTGTTTTGCAATTGTTTTTGCCTGTCAACCATGTAGAAGTCTGTCTGACTGCTCTAGCCACCTACACTGATGTCTGTTGGATTGTGTTGTGAATATTTACAAGAAACGAGAATTGTCTGTTAAAACATTGCACTGGAGGGGTTCTTAATTTGTGCTGCTGATGCCTTAAAATATTGTAACTTTTACTCCTATTTGCTTTTCTTCAGCACATTGCTCTACCTTTTTGCAATTTAAATATTATAAATGTTGTAGTTTGTCGTTACAAATATTATATACAATATATATTACATTATTACTGTTTTCTCTTTCTCTTCTGTTTGTTTTTAGGATATCACATGCTGTACAATGTTGCTCTGCTTTAACTGAAAACGCTGCAGATTATTTTCTATATTCATTTACTGTTTTTGTCAGGAATAGAGGTGGGCATTGGAACCGTTCAGTTTGCTTTGAAAAACATAGTACAAAAAAAAGCTGCTAAGATAAAAGAGTTTAATATATATAAATATATATATATATTCTTTCCATATAATAATAAATTATATATATATATAAATATATTAACATCTATTAATATATATAATATATATTATATAAAAATATATTTTAAAATATCTATTTATATGTGTATTATATATTTTTTGTTTGTTTATTTGTTTGTTTGTATTTTTTTCTTACTGAAGTAACCGTAAAACACACTTTCTCCAGCTACATGCAGCAGTGTATATTGTGCACAACTGGACAAATTGTTTTGTTGAACAGGGTAGCTGTTTGAACACAAAGCAGAATATACAAATAATACTTGCAGTTTTAGGCCAAGCTTAATTCTGTAGCTTTTTGAACAAGAAATACCAGAATCTCAGTGTGATTTTAGTAAAAGATACAAGAAATTAAATGGAAAGACAGAATCTAGTAGGCAAATAAAAAGGAGCTGCTTCATCTAGAAGCTGTATAAAGCTTCGTTAGAGATGATGCCTTCTGTCCTTTCATTGGACAACACTAGAGGAGTTTAACCCTGTCTTCTTTGAACTCACTATCAGATATTTATGCTCACTGATATTATTCATTTGTAAGTAAAAGTAAACAGAACTATGCAAACAGTAAATTATCCTCCCTGTGTTCAGCAGCCCAAAATGCTAATATAAGATCCAAATAATGAAGGATAGTCTCAGCAAATACTTTAGAAGAACAGTTTGCAAATTATGTATTTGAGTAGTGTATATCACTGGATCATAAAGAGTAGAAGACTACTTGTGGTTCGGAGGTAAATAATGAGTAATGCATGGTGGATTTTTCTTTTGTTTTAAAGTCATTTCAGTCAGGAGTCTAAAGTTTCATAAAGCTGAGTGAACAAAAAAAGAAGTGTTCCTGGAAAACTTTCATCTTGATTGAGTGCTCACTCTATTAATGTATCTATGTCTGTAATATGGCGCATGAATGTTTTTCTGTAATTTTGAGCAAGTGTTGATAGATTAGTGTTTAGATTGATCCTTAAAATGATCTTTTGATAGAGCTCAAAGTGTGTTAATATGGAGTTCTGCTGATCTGCATTTTGTCTTGAGAGTAACTTGGATTTTTGTCTTTGTCCCCTGTATCACAGGACTTGTCCAGATACTCTACACCTTCTCTTAGGATTGTGCCAAATCCACACGCAAAAGGCTGATGTTTGAACTTTGTGGTTGGTTTCTCATATCACAGAAATAGGTGGTGTTTCCTTGATGATGTTTGTAGCAGAGGTAAGATCCCTTAAGGAAATACTTAATATTTTGTCAGACCTGCTCTTTTATTCTAAGAGAAAGAAGATGTCTTTTGTGAATGTAGTTTTTACTTCTTTAGATAGTGAAGATGGTTTTTGATTTCAAATCTGGTTTCCAGATTCTCTCCTGTCTTCATAGCTGATTAACTAATGCAGAGAATATTAACCGTGAAAAATGCGTGAGTGTCTTCATTGCATTCCATTTTAAGTTTGGAAAGCTCTGCTCCCAGGACTCCTGGGAAGATATGATGTAGAGGAGTTATTTTGACAAATACAATGCTACTTATGGATACGAAGTGTTTAGATGCTGCCTATTTAAAAATTTCTTTCAAATTCTAGCTAGATTTTCTGGTGTGGAGAGGTGGGGTTTTGGATTTCTTCTGGTGGTGCTGGTGGTTGTGGAGGTCCTTGGGTTTGTTTTTATTTAATCTTTTAACTTTTAAGTAACTTTTTAAAGACATAATTGCCATCAAAAATTAATGAAATTTAAAAATTATTGTGATATAGAATCATGGAACCACAAAATATTCTGAGATGGAAAGGAGCCATCAGTATAATTGTGTCCTGGCCCTGTGCAGGACACCCCAAGAGTCACACCTAGTGCCTCAGAGCACTGTCCAAATGTTTCTTGAACTGTGTCAAGCTGGTGCTGTGACCAATTATTTGGGGAACTTGTTCCAGCGCCCACCTACCCTCTGGGGAAAGAACCTTTTCCTGATACCCAACCTAAACCTTCTCCAACACAGCTTCAAGCCATTCCCTCAGATTCTGGCACTAATCATAAGAGAAAAGAGAAGAGCAAAAGGGTAAAAGGGTAAAAGAGTAAAAGGGTACAAGAGTAAAGACAAAGTTGCAGACTTGCAATGAGGGCTCCCCTTAGTCTCCTGAAGGTAGAATAGGCCAAGTGACCTCAGCTGCTCCTCATGCTGCTTTCCTCAAGGCACTTCACCATCTTCATAGCTCTCTTTTAGATGCTTTATAAAGTTTAATATGTTTCATGTGTTTTGGCACCCAAACCAGCCCCCAGCACTGGAGGTGAGGCTGCCCCAGCTCAGAGCAGAGCAGGACAAATCCCCTCCCTTGCCTGACTGTGATGCTGTGCCTGATGCTCCCAGGACAGGGTTGGCCCTCCTGCCTGCCAGGGTGTGGATGCTGGTGAGAGTCAGGGAAAACAGCAGTTTGAGTTTTCCCAAGGGAAAGAATTAATAACAAAGTTTAGCACCTGGTGTTGTGGACAGGAGGAGTGCATGAAGAACGAGATGCTTTGGTGTCACTGGTTGGGGTTTTTGGGGTCCCTTTGGGATCCCTGAGACTGCTTCTGCAGCCCTCAGTGACGGAGCACATTCCCGAGCTTTGCCCAGATAGAATTTTGGCTTGCAGTGAGCTCTTAGACCAGCGGGGAAAAGAAACCAGCATATGTAGAAAGGCACAAATCCATAGTTTATTTTATAAAGGCATCCTATCTAGCATGTACCCACAGTTACTGTTTTACAGGGATTTTTATATCTTTTGAGGGTTTTATGGTTTGCATCAATTACCAAGGGAATCCTACTTTCTAACCAATCTCTGAGGGATTTACATTCAAAGCTGGTATATGGATACTAAAAGAAAATTAACCACTAATATTGAAGATAGATAAGAGGGTCTTCTAAGGGGGAGGAAGCTAAATTCCTTTTGTATTCGTCATTTCACAAGCCATTTCTTATCTCTAAGCTATGGTTTTCCAAGGAGCTTGTTCTGAGGATGCAGGGAAACTTTCTTCTGTGTTTTCTGCTCCCTCCATAACTCCTCTCTCTGTATTTACTAAAAAGACACTTTCAGCAATTTTCTTAAAACGTTGAACAAAGCATGCAAACATAACTAACACAATGACAACTACGATTAAAATCCATAAAAGTCCCTTGACCAGAGATGTGGCCCACCCCATCAGTCCCCATTGTCCAAAAAGGTGGTTGAGCCAGTCTGGAGTGGTTTCTACTTTCAAATCCTTCACGAAGTCCTTCAGCTTCTGGATGTTTGCTTGGATGGATGTTGAACGTGAGGAGAGATTGATGCAGCACATCCCCTCAAAGTCTTCACAGCCATGTCCATGGGTGAGTAGCAGGAAGTCGATTGCAGCTTGGTTTTGCAGGGATGCATGTCTCATGTTTTCTTCATCCTTTAAAAGATCACTCAAAGCAGCAGATGTAACATTGGCTTGCTTACTGAGCTGACACCCTAAATGAGTAATTTCACTGAGGGCTTTTGCTGCAGCCACCTATAGTAAGAACAGGGAGACAGCAGCTCTTGTGGGTTTGTTCCAGTTGTACAATTTAGGGTCACAACTTTTATCAAATTCAGTGTAAGATCTTTTTTCGTGTTTTGATTCACTCTCCTTTTTCCAATTATGTAATAAGGTAATGTTGGGGGTGAAGGTAGAAAGCTTACCAAGGCTACAGGGTCCCCCCTGAAGGGGAGAGGGGATTCCAGCCCAAACCCGATCACCACAGATAAGAAACACTCCACGGGGTAATGTTTTGGGGTGGATGGAGGATTCAGAGAGAGCATGAGTGGTGTAATTGCACCAATCTGGATAATTGTAGGCTTTGTTGATGGGTGATATGTCTTTTCTGTATGTGTTTCGAATTTGCCTCAATCCAGGCCAATTTTGCTTTGGACTTTTGTAGTAAAATTTGACACAGTATGTTGCTTTGGACCCCAGCAAATCTAATTCTTGGGGTTCCTCAGGGGCATTTGGCAGTATTTTTATCCAACGGTCCCAAGTGTCAACTGGATTTGGTCTCTTACCAGTGGTGCGGAGGAGCTCTGAGTTCTGGACGGGCCATTCGTCTGCTACAAAGGAAATTCCTACCAGACATGTGGAAAGTGGGTTGTCAAGGTTGCCCATAGACAGGCACATGTTATCTTGTTTTAATATCTTTGCTAAAGTCACCCAAACATTGTGTTTGGGTTGGGGACTGATCCAGCTGAAGGCATGCAGCACAGGGAAGAGGATCCAGGCAGCAGTGAGGACAGGATCAACAGAGAAATTTTTCATCTTTGGACAAGGATGGGCCTTCTGATAGGGAATATAAGTAAAGTCAGTTATTTTTATGATGGGGGGAGAGAGGGTTAGGGTTTTCTTCTTCATCTCCTTCCTTTGTCCCTTCCCCCCGCTCTTTTTTTTTTTTGTTTTCTCTAGGGATAGGGAAGTGAATACAGGATTAGGGGTTACAATAAAATCATTGTGGGGGGACTAATACTAGGGTGTTTCAGTAGAGGTAGTAACATCTAACTAAAGGTCACTTTGTGGCCAGACTATGTCTGGCTTATGATTTGCCTGATGCAGCAGAGTGCTGCTTAGTTTTTTGTTTCGTCTGCTGTCTTGTGACAGGATGTTCTTTTCTTTGATGTGCAGGTGTTCAACGATGTCTTCTTCTCCAAGCAGTGCTGGTTTGGTTTTGAGGAGGTCTTATATTTGACTCTGGGGAGCTTTTGTTGTTGTCTGTTGGAGTAGCTTTTGCCATGCCTAGGTATGGTTTTTTGTTTTTTCCTGGGCACCATCTTGGTCCAGATGGCAGGGAGATGCAAGCATACCCCCTTCCCCAGGTAATTAATTGGAAAGGTCCAGAAACCTGATGTGTTTCAGGGTCTTTCACCAGCACTGGTGGTTTCTCAGTGAGTTTTGCTTGGGTTGAGTTTGCAAAGTGTCAAAGTATTGGGGGGTCTGGTTCTGACTTGGTTCCATTTAGGAAATTGATGACGTAGAGAGCTTTGCAGAGTCTTTCCACTAGAGATAAAATTTCTGTGTCTCTTCGCTGCTGGTGAAGGACTCTTTTGATGTTTTGATGAGTTCTCTCTACAATGGACTGTCCTGTGGAATTTCCAGGAATGGTGTGAATGTGTTCAATTCCCCATTCACTGAGGAACTCTTGAAATTTGTGAGAGATGTAGGCAGGTCCATTGTCAGTTTTGATCTTTTTTGGAACTCCCAGAGTGGCAAATGCTAAGAGAAAATGCTTGATGATGTGAGTGGCTGTTTCTCCTGCATGAGTCGATGCAAAAACTGCTCCAGAGAATGTGTCAACTGACACGTGCACATACTTAGACTTTCCAAAAGGTGGGAAATGGGTGACATCAGACTGCCACAGCTGGCAGCTGTTCAGGCCTCTGGGATTGACTCCCGTACCCATAGAGGGCACTTCATAGTTTTGATACTTTGGGCATGTTGCCACAATGACTTTTGCTTGGCTTTTTGGAATTTTAAACATTCTCATGAGGGCAGGTACGTTTTGGTGGAAAAATAAATGTGACAGCTTTGCTTGAGCAAAAATGTTGGGGATGTTTGCAGTCTCGACTGGCATGGCCAGTGTGTCTGGTCTCCTGTTTCCTTATGTAATAAAACCTGGAAGGTCGGTGTGTGACCTAACATGCATGATATGGTAGGGTAATTTTCTGTGGGAAATGAGGGTTATTAATGAAGAAATCAATTGGTGTAATTTTGGATTGGAGATTTCTTTGAGGAAAGCATGTTCTGCTCTCGTAGCTATACCAGCTATGTAAGCAGAATCTGTGGCTAAGTTAAAGGGTTTATCTTTGAATTTCTCAAAGGCTCTCACAACGGCTGCCAATTCTGCAATTTGTGGAGATCCCTCCACAATTTGGACATCAGATTCCCATTCACAAGTTTTGGGGTTTTTCCAAGTCATGACAGACTTGTGAGAGGAACCTGAGCCGTCTGTAAAAACGGTTAGAGCTTTGAGAGGTGCTCTGCTTTGAACGAGTTTTGGGATCAGATTGAAGGTTGCATTTCAATTAAAAAGTTTGTGTTTTGGTATGTGAATAGAAATTTGGCCTGTGTAGCTATCTAGAGCAAATTGAAGATTTTCATTAGTTTGGAGCAGATTTTCCAAATCTCCCGTGGTCGGGGCAGGTTAATGCATGTAAACTCACACCCTGAAAGAGAGCGGAGGCGGGTTCTGGCCTTGTTTATCAAATATGCCATGATTTCCTGAAACGTAGTAATTGTCTTGGTGGGCTGATTGCTTGTGAAAATCCATTCAAAGATCAACAAAGGGTCTGTGAGTTGAGGGTCCCATTGAAAAATCAGTCCATAGAAGCAAGGGGCCTTTCCTAAAATGACAAACTGGAAAGGCAGATTTGGCTCAAATCTGTGTGCTTGACGTGAAGACAGGGCTTCCTGAACTTTGATGATGGATTGTCAGGCTTCCGGGGTGAGTGTGCGTGGGGAGTCCAGGTCCTCGTTGCCATGGAGGAGGTTGAACAGAGGGGCGAGGTCTTCTGTTGTGAGTCCCAATAGGGGGCGAATCCAGTTGATGGATCCACACAGGCTGTGTAGGTCTCTTAAGGTTTTTGGGTCGTCTCGAATGGAGAGCTGCTGGGGTACAATGGTCCTTTCTCGGATTAAAAGTCCTAGGTATTTCCAGGGGCTGGTGTACTGTATTTTGTCTTCACAGATTTCGAATCATGCTTTTTCTATGGTCTGAATGGTTGTTTTGACAGCTTTTTCTAAGTAGGTCTTTTCTGATGCACAAACTAGGATGTCGTCCATGTAGTGATGAGTGATTGCTTCTGGGAATTGTTCTCAAACAGGAGAAAGGATGTGTCCAACGTACCATTGGCAGATTGATGGAGAGTTTTTGAGTCCTTGGGGAAGGAAAAGTCAATGATATCTTTTGAGAGGAGTTTCTCTGTTGAAAGAGGGGATGGAGAAGGTGAACCATGGTGCATCTTGGGGATGCAATGGGATGCTGAAAAAACAATCTTTTATGTCAATGACCACAAGTGTCCAGTCTCAAGGCAGAATTGATGGGGAGGGCAGTCCAGGCTGGAGAGGGCCCATGTCTTCAATGATGTTGATTTTGCAAAGGTCGTGGAGAAATCTCCACCTGTCTGTTCCAGGCTTTTTCAGGACGAAAATTGCAGAATTCCATGGACTCTTCGACTCTATAGTGTGGTCTTTTGCTAGCTGTTCTTCAACGAGGGCTTGCAATGAGCTCAGTTTGATCTTTGATAGGGGCCACTGTGCCTGCCGTTGGGGTTCATCATTCTTCCAGGTGAGACGAGGAGTGGGCGGGACAGTGGACGCTTCAATGGCCCCCATAAAAAATCCTGACTTTGACCTTGAAGAGAAGCCCCCCATTGGGTCAGGGCATCTCGGCCCCATAGGGTGACTGGGGCTCTTACCACAAATGGTCAGATGGCTGCCAGTTTTCCTTCAGGCCCTTCAATGATGACGTTGCATCTGCTTCTCATGGAAACGGTAACTCCCCCAATTCCAGACAGCATGCTTCAGGTTGAACTTCCCAGTGTGGTGGCCATTCCGAGCGGGCAATGACGGTGACGTCAGCACCGGTGTCTATCATTCCTGGTTTCTGAATTTTTTCCCTGTAGCAGAAAAGGCTGCACTTGAGGATGGGTTTGTTTGGACCCATAATTTGTGTCCGCATTATTGTAGGGTTGAGAGGGATCTGTTCCATGTGATTTTTTGGAAGTAGGAAGGCTTGTGCAATAGGTGTGTTCTCTGGAAGAAAAAAGGGAATGTCTGTGCAGCACAATTGGACAAAGATTTCTTTTCCAGGTGCTACAGTTTGTATTTCAGGTAAAACAGAAATTTGTGGTGGACCATGGAAACCGTCACCGAGTATTAAAATGTCCCAAGGACCATCTTGTGGTCCATGCTTTCTTATAAGGATATGATAAAATTTTTCATCTATAATATTTAAAGACAAAACAGTCACCAGTTGTTGGCGGGTTCCCATCAAAATCTCACCAAATGTTGGCTCTACCTGATGTGGTCTGGAATTTTCGAGGATGATGGGGTTTGATGTTCCTCACTTGTCATCATTGGGGCTGGGTGGAAGGCAGCTTTTGGTTTGTTGTCTGCACCCGGAGCTGAATCTGGGCTGCATTGGAAGTTTTTTGGCTGCTGTTGTTGTTTTTGTTGCCTTTGGGGTTTGTGGTAGTTGTTGTGGGGGTTTTGGGTGGGTGGTATTTTTGGGCAGTCTTTTATAAAATGTCCAAGTTCCCCACAGTAGAAACAACGAGCATTTCTTTGGAGACCATCACTGCAAAGACTCCAGCGACTCCATCAGCAAGGCCCTTGGCAACTGCTTTGGCCACTGTGCTTTCAGTGGACATGTGGCGTGTGCAGCTTTCCACCATCTGCTCAATGGTGGGGTCAGTGTCTATAGGTAAAGCTCTTAAAATGGTTTTGCATTGTTCATTTGCATTGCTTAAAGCAAGTTTTCTCAGAAGTTCCTTTTGCACTTCTGTGCTCTCAATTTGTTTTTCAAGAGCGTCCTTAAGCCTGTCTACAAATTTTATAAAAGTCTCATCTATTCCCTGCTTGATATTGGAAAAATGCAAGCTAGGAATAGAGTTGTCAGGGTAAGAAGGAATGAAGTTTTTGCTGCATTAGCAATATCCTGCAGTGTTTCTTCAGGAATAGAGTTAGCTTATTCTGAGGGTTTAGAAAATTGGTTTTCACCAGCGAGTTGTTCAACAGTAAAATTCTGTCGATTGGGATCTTTTGAATACTTATCAGATAGTATTTTTAATTGTTTTTTCCAATGCCTTTCCCATAACATAAATTCGGCCGGTGACAGAAGGCAAGTAGCTAGATTTTTGAGATCATGGGGAACCATCACAAAAGCATGTTTACAAGAGGTGTTGCCTTCCTTGGACCAAGGTCCTCGGTTCTGCGAACCAGTCTATAAAAATGTGCCTACTCCTGCAATAAATCACTTCTTCTGCTTTCTGGATGAAGCCTGTGTTGCTTTACTTTTTCGTCGCTCCCTAGCCTTACAGCGACACCAGGGCACTGCTGACTTATGTTCAACTTGCCACTGACCAGGACCCCCAGGTCCATTTCTGTGAGGTTTCCCTCCACACAGTCATTCCCCAGTCTGTCCCCACTGCTGCAGCTCCAATCTTGCCTCTATACAATGGCCTCTGCAGCTATGCAAAGAGCAGATTTCTCGCTTTCTATTGTATTAAAGATTATTGATGTGATCTTGCCAAAATAAATAAAAACGATGTATGAAGTTTAAATTTTAATCATGAAGGATAATTTTGAAGTTAGCAAAACTATGACAAAGTGGAGGAGCATTGCTGTGCTATAACATGCAGGTTGCTCTGTCCTACCTCCCCTCTGCATGCTTGTTCCAGTATTCCTGCATAATACTTTTGATTATATATTATGTCAGCTCCATCATCGTGTGCATTTTCATTAAATTATTCAGTAATGTGGCATTTAGGTTCTCTAATTCCTATAGGAGTTTTATTTTTTTAAAAGAACTTGACTAATATTTAAAAATGTAGACATACTGGTCAGTGTTGATGACCTTATTAGATTATTACTGGTTTGGTGGATTTTTTCACCTTTTTGACTAGGTTTTTTCACACTATATATGAAATCTTTCTGTATTGCAACTGCCAGCATTAAAGGACAAGCAGAATGGTTTAGGGTTTTTTGTTTGGTCTGGTTTTCTGTCACTAAATCCAGCTGTAGTCCACCCAGAAAGGAGTGAGAGAGTTTTTCCACTTCTGTTCTGGATCTCAACGCAAACTGTTTCCACACCCCCACCATATTTTCTTCCTGCCACAGGAGTGGTGAGAGTTGGTGGTTTTGACTCGGTAGTCCTTCTCTCCACTTTCTTGTTTGGTCTCAAAAGCTGGTTTTTGGTGTGGACTAGTGGACATGGCTTGTGTACCTAGTGAGATGGCCTTCAACAGCCAGCTTGAATGAGAAGTGTGTGACCTCTGTTCTGTGGGAAAAGTACTTTATTTGGGGAATATGGAGTGTCAGTTAACAAGGAGCAGTGTAACACTGGCTGGTGTAAGATCCTTACACAGAAGCAAGTAGGCGATGAACTGGAATAGCAGGCAGTGATATGCAGTGAGCACTGACTGGCCAGCCACAGAGAATATTGATCATCAGAACAAAGCATAGTTGGAGATTGGGTAACTGTAACTAGGAGTGTGTTACAGAGGGAAATACTGGTTTCACTCCTGTTTAAAATTTTCTTCACACATAGAATCATGGAATAATGGAGCTGAGTGCTGATGACGCCAAACTGGGAGGAGTGGCAAACCAAGGGCTGTGTTGCTATCAAGACCTCAATAGGCTGACAGAAACCTCATGCAATGAATACACACCTCATGCAAAACAAAGGAAAGTGCAAACTCTTGGAGAGGAAGAGTCCAATGCACCAGTTACTGCAGGAAAACAGCTTTGGAAAGGTCCTGGTGAGCAGCAAGTTGAACATGAGCCAGCAATGTGCCATTGAGGCAGCAAAGGCTAGGTACATTAGGAGGACTGCAGTCAGCAAGT